CTCACGCTGGTGAGGAGACACCGTTAGTTCTAGTAACACCTGGGCTCCCAAGGCCTGTTCTGACAGGATGGATGTTACGGGACCCTCAAGGATTCCAGCTGGACGATTGGAGGATTATTTAGGAGGATTGGAATGAACAAACTGGTTTCAGTGGTGAAGGGTTAAATGAGTGAGTGAACCCACCACCAAGGATGAACTCTACTAACTTTAAAAATCAGCTGCTCTAAATAAGCATGAAGGTCAGAGAGGAGCTCTAGGATGGACATGGATAAAGGAACTGTAATGTAGAGGTAAAGTAGGGCAGGGCCGACGTTAGCAGCTGTCATACGGTCCATCTGAGATGTTTGACTTGCATTTAGCTTGTTATGTGACAGGTTAGAGCACAGTCTCATGTTAGAGTTTTGTCATGAGGACATTGGGATACCACACACACTGATGGCATCAAAAAAAAATTATTTTTTCTCAAAATAAAAAATAATTTTAACCACAACTGAAACTTACCATCCTAAAAAAACCTCGTCCAATCAATGTGCACGTCCTGTTCTCACTGATTGGATAGAAATCCCTCCTTCAAGCTATGTGTGTGTGTGTGTGTGCGCGCGCACATACGAGCGAATTGTGAACTGGCGTTGTGATTTAGCACTACTTAGATGTAGCCATCCTTACGCTGACATAAATGTAACTAAGTAACTTTTACTTTGAGTACATTTTGTTTACGAAACTTTTTACTTTTACTTGAGTAAAAATTTAGGCAAGTACTTTTACTTGTACTTGAGTAAAAAAGTATCATAGTATTGGTACTTAAGTAGGACATTTTAGTACTCTTTCCACCTCTGGTCATCAGGGAGGGGCTCAGAGTAAATGGTAAATGGCCTGTGTTTGAGTTCTGCCCCCCCCCCCCCCCCCCCCCCAAGTGCTTAACAAAACGATAGCTGCGTTTTCATGTGCCTAATTTCCTCAATCCGATTGAAATCTTGGTTGATCGGAATTTCCGAATCTCTGTTCACATGGACACGAACTGAAATGATCCGATCATGCCGTGCGTACATACACCAAGCATTTAATCCGATTAAATAGGTTGAGCATGCGCAGAGTTGCCTTTCACGAAAGAAAAATTGTAAACAAACGCCATGAAACGAAAAGAAAAATGTAAAACCAGAAATAACTATTCTTCCTGCTTTCCTGATCCATTTATTCAATTTAATATTTTTATTTAGCTCATAGAAGTTACGTTTTCTTCAGTGAATAACTGCACATATATGCTTTGCTGCATTTTATTGTTGATTAAAATAAGGGAGGGTTATGTCTGCCTCTTGATCAGCTGGTCCGCGGGTCTGAATTGACAGCTGTTGCGCTGCGCTGCGGCACAGAGCGGGGGTGGGGGGTGGGGGTTAGCCTCATGTTTTATTACTGAGCTCTGTTGTGGTTTATTATTAATAACATGTGACGATCAGCTGAAACTGTTGAGAAAAATCTGTTCAAACAAAATAACAGAAGATGTTCAGAAAGTTTAGAAGCCTGTGTTCATCATCAACGAACCGCATCTCAGGTCATCTGCGTTTACGTGCTTCTAACACGGACTTTACTGTCGTCCAGAGTATTTAACCGAGGACGCTTTCCTACCCAACATCAGCCTCCAGTCAGGTCTGTAAAACCCAGATTATCCTGTCTTCTTTACAAGCGCGTCTCCATCACCTGCTGCAGAAGCTGCTGTGTTCAAAGCTGACAGAAACGGGGATCCGTGCGCTGCAACCCCCACGATAAACCTGCGTATTTCCAGTACAGATGTGAACATCTTTGTCGAATGATTTGTGCAATAATCAGATTTTTATTTTACTTCCACAAAATGCAAGTTCTGAATTAAATATTACTGAAACGGGACGGCTTGTCGTCGGATTTAAAAGCCGCCGCTCGTTAATTACACCGTCATTTTTGAAGTCAGGCAGTCCAAATGACAGCGGAGAGGCCCGCTCGCTGTTGCACACATGCGCAGTGGGCATTATTTTACCCCAACAATCCGAATGGCTGTGCACATGCACGTCAATCGGAATGAAGAACGGAATAAACCACCTCTCTCAATCGGATTGAAATTTCAATCCGATCGGGCCGAATCGGATCAGAATATTCTGATTGACATGTTTACATGCAGAATTTTCAATCTGAATGGGCATTCAATCCGATTAAATATGCGCATGTAAACGTGGCTAATGAGTCATACATTCACACACACATTCACACCCTGATGTTGACAAGCTACGCTGATGCCACAGCTGCCCTGGGGCGCACTGACAGATGCGAGTCTGCTGTACACAGGCACCACCGGTCCCTCCGACCACCACCAGCAGGCAAGGTGGGTCAAGTGTCTTGCCCAACGACACGACAGCGACAGACTGAGTAGACCCGCTGCTCCTCCATATCGAGAGGAACCAGTGGAGGTGACCCGGGCTTCTGGTCATGATGCCTCCTGGACGCCTCCCTGGTGAGGTTTTCAGGGCACGTCTAACCAGGAGACCCAAAGGGAGACCCCGGACACAATGGAGGGACTATTAGTGCTTCCACTTCTGGGTCAACATGGCCCCACCCGGGTAGTGTTATTTATATTCACATCTGGGTTTCCTGTGTGTTTTCAGGTCTCTTCCCCTGGCGATCCACTTGGACTGCAGTGACACAACACACTCACTGCCAACTAATTGGCCGTCTGAAATTCATGCATACCTTTAGAGGGAGCATCTGATTGGCAGGTAAAATCAGTCAGCATGGGCTTCCCGCATGCGTGATTCGTTGTCTCACTGTGAGGAGCGCACTGCACTCTCACTGAGAGAGTGAGAGTAGGAAACGGCGTCCTTCAACACTGCTCATGGCCGCCTTTGTTTACTAACTTAAAGAGGATACCTCAGACTTCTTTGCACGTCTCTCGCCCCGTCCACGTGTTTGGAGATTTCTGCGTTTCCGAGAAGGCTGTGTGGGGCCAATGCTACAAGGACCGGGCTGGGCTGAGTCGGATGTGTAAATCCCATATGATGTGGCCAGGGAACGCCTTGAGATCCCCCCAAGTGGAAGGGGAGAGGGAATTCTGGGCTCTCTGCTTAGGCTGCTGCTCCCGCGACCGACCCCAGATAAGTGGGTGAAAATGGATGAATGAAACAGGAGATAATAAACCTTAGCAACAAGATAGGTGGTGTAAAATCAACATCGAGGTGTGATTCACATCCACAAACTTAATGAGCATCACCAACAAGGTGTCATAACTACAGTTAAGTCAAAGTACTAAACTTAAGGGCACTAAAAGTCATTAGCTTTTCTTAACAAATGGACCCTTTTCCTGTAAAACTCCGGTTCTGGTTTTTACTGTGAAGGTTTTATTGGTAGGATAAGCAACTACAGGCTGATCCCAGCCAGTTCATACAGATCAGAGTGTGTTAAATCCTCAGCAGGAACCAGAAACACAAGAAAAAGTACTTGGATTTTAGAAAAGTTCTCAACTCAACTCAACTTTATTTATAAATCGCGCCTTACAGGCAAAAATATGCCACCAAGGCGCTACACTGATCAAATAAAAACATAAAACAGTAAGTCCAGAAAATAAAACTTTGTATCACACGATACAGATAAAACTACAGTGAGTAAAATTGCTATAAGTAAAACAATAAAACTAGTTAGAAAGGTTAAAAGACAGGTCATAAAAATATGTTTTTAGCCTTGCCTTAAAAACCGCAACAGAGGTGGAGGCCCTGACCCCAGGTTTCCACGGGAGCCGTCAGCAGCACGTTACTGCAGCAGCACGTCTTGCTCGCGTAAACTGCTGCTTGGCCCTTCCCACGAGACGCGAAGCAGCAGGGGAGCAGCTGTCACCAACCGAGCACGAAGTCACACGAGTGACTTCGTCAGTAAACACAACAACAAGCAGGAGAAAACTATAACATGGTTTGTGTTTTATGTTCTTTCCGTTTTATAATCGCCAATACGGACCTGAAAAACAAAGGAGACCGCTAGCTAGGTGATAACTTCTCACGGGGCCGCACAGTTAGTAACCTTTTTAAAAGTAAAGCAACCAGAAGGCAGTACGTTCTTTATTCTGAAAATCTCGGTAGCTTCGCTCCGTTTCCGCGTCCAATTTCCTGTCTTTCCTTCCCCAAAAATGTCGAACTTGACCCGTTTCAGAGGCGTCGCGCGTAGAAAATAGAACCGGCGCGTAAAGGCCGCGACATGCTGCTCCTGAGACGCGGCCGACTCGCGCTGCTGACGGCTCCAGTGGAAAAGGTTCTGTTGACCACAGCGGTTCCTATCAGCAGCTATGACGTGCTGCTGACGGCTCCCGTGGAAAGCCGGGGTTATGCTGAGAGGAATCTTATTCCAAAGCTTAGGACCTGCCACAGCTAAAGCCCTATCACCACGCGTCTTTAGGCGCGTTCTTGGGACCGAGAGGAGCATGAAGTTCTCCGAGCGGAGTGACCGTGAAGGGGTGTATGGTTGAAGTAGTGACACCAAGTAAGGAGGGGCTAAACCATTTAACGTTTTAAAAACTAGTAAAAGTATTTTAAAATGAATCCTAACATCAACGGGCAGCCAGTGAAGCGCAGCCAGGACAGGAGTTATGTGGTCAAACTTGCGCCTGCCCTCTAAAAATCTGGCAAAAGCATTCTGGACCATTTGCAACCTGGCTATTGAGCCCTTGCTCACACCGAATAGAACAGAGTTGCAGTAGTCCAATCGCACCGCAATAAAAGCATGGACCACCGTCTCAAGATTATGACGTGACACAAATGCAAATATTATTCTTTTAATTAGAGAAGTTATTGACCCCAGTCAGACAAAAACACACCCCAGCAGTACGGATTATTCTAGTGTCTGTGACTCAGATTCCCTTTGAAACAGGCACAACAAACAGCTACAACCAGCAAAACAAGAGTAGCTAGTAAAAAAAAAATGCCTTCAATGATATACGTGAGCTTGGGATTAGTAGCAAATGTAATGTTTTTAGGATTTTCGCTGCATCTCAC